TCTGTATTACGGTATTACGGTACTGTACGGCACAGAGATCCTCGATCGCCTCGCCGCCGTAGCACCTGTGTTCGCTGTACGCGGCAATGTGGATGACGTGGACGTTGATGCCCGCGGCGGCGGCGGCGATGGTGGCGGCGGCGACGGCGGTCTCCATGGTGACGGTGAGAACGAGTACCAGAGACCGCTCCGGGTCGCCGACTTTGCAAGCGGGAAGGAGGCACACACAGCTGCATGCCGTGGTTACCGTGATAATGATAACGATGATGATGATGATGATGATGATGGTGGTGGAGGTGAAGGTGGCGGCTGCCCTACGGGTGGTTCCGGAGCTCCAGCCCTCCAGCTGCCCAGCCATCGGCTGCTCGAGGCGGGCGGCTGGCGGATCCTGGTAACCCACGTGGTCGGCCAGCCGCCACACGCAGGCACGTGTACGGCGAGTGTACGGCACGTGCACCACATTTAGAGCATGACTGGGGTGAGGAGGCAGTCGGGGGAGGCATTGATATGAGGGTTAGACGTTACTCGGCTTGCAAGCTTGATGTCGAAGCGCTGATGGATACCCTTAGGACACGTGTCAACGACGACTGGGCGAATGATAGGCTAGCTGTGGACCCTAGAGTTTTCGTTACGGACGGTAGGAAGCCCGGCGTGAAGATGGGCCGCCATAAGCACTGGATGGGGCCACCGAAGCCGTACGCGGGTTATATCCCCCCGGCGCATCATCGTGCCCTAATTCGCTTTCGTTTGTGTGTCTCTGACCTGGCGGTTAACAGTGAGAGCAACAGGGCTAGGGAGCACCGCGTGTGCGCTGTGTGTCGTAGTAATGGTGCTATTGAGGATGAGAAACACTTCTTGGTAGAATGTCCGGCGATTATGTCTGCGCGTCAGAAGATCTGGGACCTCGGTGTGCCCGTCAATGCGAACATCCGTGATATCATGCAAGTGGATGATCAGCGTGGTCTTGCAAAGGCTATTTTTGAGATGTTTCGCTCCCGGCATGAGCACCTAACTACCTAACTTTCTCGGCGGTAATAGGCAATTGTGTTTCAGAGTCAAATTGACGCTGTTCCTTCTCATAAACACCCGTTTTCTTCTTGCGTAAAACTTTCCTTTTTTTGTTTGTTTGCTTCGTTTACTTTTTCTCTTTTTTTCTTTTCCCTATCGACGGCGCTGTCAAAGCGGTTCATGAGCCTCCGGGTTCGTTTGGGCCGTACGAGCTCGCTGAAGCTTGTAACATCCATCCATCCATCCATGCACCACATAGTTACGACCCTCGTGCATGTGCACGCCCGTGCCTAGCTTTCATTCCGATCTCCGGCCTCCTCATCCCTCCCGAGGTACCGGCCGCGTCCCGCCTTTGAAGCCGAATCCTTGAACACACCGGCGCCACAACCCTTCGGTCTATGTGGTTCATCTTCCCCGGGGCCGCCCCATCAGTTACCCTTGTCACCAGCTGCTCTCGTTCGTGGTTCGTCCTCCCCCCAACCCCCGATTAAAATTTAGTCTTGGCGGCTAGGTAGGTAGTTTTCCGCTATCGTCATGACAACTAACATCATCGCGAGGACTTCTTCTTCACAACCGCCAACTGGTTAGTTAGTTATGCCTTCTTTGCTTCTGGCGCAGCAGTCTTTCTTTGGGCACCACCTTCACTCGCTCGTGGTTTCTGGCTCGTCTTCCCCCCAACCCCAACCCCCTGCGTCTCGTCTCAGTGGATCCGGTCGCAGTAGAGCTCATTCGGTGTCACGACCCACACATTGTGGTGTTTGGTCACAGCCACAAGCACCTGGCTGTGACCCAAGGACCAAGGCACTTCTACAATCCGGGCTCCGCAGGTGGGATCTGGGGTCTGGAAAACTATTGTGTTCAAGATATGAAAACGGGGGGGGGGGAAATCTGGGTCGCGAGTCGAGTGGAGAGTTCGGCCGGGACGCGCGGAGATGAGGAGCGAAATGTCGAATCGAACAGTATCGAATCAGATGGCGTCGAACCGAACGGAATCGAGTCTCGTGTAAATTCAGGAGTGGGCATATGGAAGAGTACTCCATTCCCCCCAACCCCCGATCTGCAGCTCAGGGCAGTTTTAAGAGGGTGAAGAGGCTGCAGGTGTGTATGCATCGCATTTGTTGCGTCACTGGTGGCGGGTGGTGAGGCTAATCGTGGCCAAGGCGGCCCGCGGCCCGGGGCGGTGATATTGACCACCGCAAGAAAAGCGAGCGAGCGACACAACACAACACAACACAAGACAACACAACACAGCACAACACAACACAACACAACACAACACAACCAGCCAGATGTGTCCCAGCGGTACCTGCAGGCCCGGCACGGTTTAAGCTTCCACGCACGGTTGCATTGCTGGAACTGCCGCATCGTTTTCGGGAGATGGAGGAGAAGGTGGATGAGGAGTATGCGGGTAGGTGGATAGGCGGGCGGGTGGGTGGGTGGGTGGGTGGATTACGAGTAAGGCCCCTTCCCACCTTCGAATTCAAGCTTTCAGGAGTGCTGCACTCGGCTTCCGGAGGAGGAGGAGGAGGAGGAGGAGCTAGCAACTCGGCACAACGCAATGGATTGGTTGTCGTGTCGTACTAGGATACGGCACGGAAGGAACCGATGGCATGCAAATCACCGCAATGTACGGATGGCGCGACACTGGGCATGGCATCGATCCACCTCCTACACTCCTTACGGCACCATCCTGCGCCACAATCCACCCTTTCAACCCCCGCCCTCACGCTATTTCATGTGGCTATTAGGTGACCGTGTTCGAATCCCGACTCCTTGCTTGCAGCTGCTGCTGCTGATGGTGCTGGTGGTGACGTATGGGCTCGTAAGCGGGTGGTGCCTTCCGGTCCGGAGCCGGTGCCGGTGCCGTCGTTCCGCCTCATCACCCTAGCACCCAGGGCGCCGCCGCGTATCAGCGCCACCAGCCCGTTACGTGGCGCAGGTCGTACCGTCACCATCGCAGCCGCAGCCGCTGACGACGGCAGTGGTGCTGGAGTTGGTGCGGGTGCGGGTGCGGGTGCGGGTGCTGGTGCTGGTAGTGGTGCTGCTGATGACAACGATAATGTCGTCGTTGTTGATGCCAACGGTCCAAGTCCCCTGCCATTGATGCAGCGGCGCCTGACAGCACGTGGGAACAGTGGGATGAAGCGTAAAGGTGACGGGGTTGGGTGCGGGAGGAGGGCCTCCAGTGGTGGAGGTGGTGAAGGGGCCTGGAGCGGCACATCGGCGCGGCGGTGGGTGGAGCCCTCCCCGGAGCAGAAGAAGCTGGAGCCGCAAAAAGTTTTGTAGATTGAGGGGGTAGGAGGTGGGGGATAGAAGTAGAGCAGCAGCTGTGCGCGGGCAGCAGGAGAGTCAAGGGAGGGAAGGGTGCTTGCGGGTTGTGCAGTCGTCAGAGTTTTGCTTCAAGTCGTTTTGGCTGTACGTGCTTAGGTGCGCTTAGGCACACGCCTCTCGTAGCCATATATACACATTTGCAATGGCTGTCGCGCGCTTCTGGCTGGTCCTAGCTAATAAGAAGAGACATCATCGCATGAAAAACTGCGTTGTACATAACATCAGCACTGTAATCGAAAATCCTTTAATGGATCCCCTCGGAAAAAAAAGAAGATTTATATTTTAATGCGATCTCGTCGTAAAACGGTGGAGCTGAAGCGGTTATACACTATTTTGCTGGAGCGACGTCAAGAGGTCAAGAGCCCGTAGAAGTAACAAGCGGAGATGCTTTCGCGGCGGATGGTGTGACTAGGTGTGGGGGGGGGGGGAGGGGGAGGCAGCTATCACCACATACCGGGGAGACCTTCCACTCAACCCCCTCCCGTCCCCTCCCTTCCCTTCCCGGAAGAGAAAGAGAAATCGGCTCATTAGGTAAGATATCGTATGGGTGACCATTCCTCTATTTCAAAAACAGCTGTTACTTGTCGTATACACCATAGCAGACGACATAAAACAATAGCCTGCAAACCGCCTTTCTGTTGTTTGTTATTTGCATATTCTTTTCGCGGCTTAAAACACGTGTGTACGTCGTCCACACACAACATCACACACACGCAGCACATTCCCATGTGGACAGCCCAGATGATGCCATCGCCGCCGTACACTTTTGCGTAACGGATATGTATTTATGTATGTATATACGTGTGTGTCCGGGCAATGCCACCAAACCCGGACATTCTTTTAAACCACCTTATACCATACGACAACAGTTCGACATCGACGATATCATCTGGAGACAAACATTGTCGCCACGTGCACACATACATACACAAACGCACTCTCCACCTTCGGGAATATAATATATAAAAACCGACTATTAACATATCATCACATACGTACACACATAAGCGAGATTAGGCCTAGCCGGTCAGACAGAACAAACCGAGAGATTTAAAATTTTAAGATGATGGCAGTCGTGCTATTCTGGTGTAGAAAAAGATTCAGACCATCGTCCTTTTAAGATGAGGCGTTCATTATTTTTTTCTCGAACCTCCTCTTATCTCCTCTTTAGCTCAAAGCTTCATAAAATTGGTGTTATCTTGTGAGATAACAAAACCGTGAAAAGTGGACGCATGATCTTCTCCTCATAATTATGTGCGAAGGGGCACGAAACCCCTCCGAGCAAAACCCGGCAGAATTAACCATTATAAAGGTCCCCTCTACCTCTATCTCTGTGTATATCCGTATGTATATCCGTGTGTGATTCTCCTTTCCGCTCTCCACTCCCTTCCCCCTACGTCCACCAATTCACATCCACCAATACATCTGTACAACGTAAAATTGCAAACAGCTTCTAAAGGTTACCCCTCTCCGCCTTTCCTGAAGCTCTCACGGACGTTTTGCTCACAAGCCAACGCAACAAAACAGACACCACCCAGCCTCGCAAGTCCTTCCCCCCACCCTGCCTCCCTCCATCCCAGCCTGACTGCGACGACAGAGCTAACCAAAAATGATGCGATCTTCACGTCTTCCTGTTGGCTACCCCTCTGCATTATGTGACATCACGCCGCCGCCGCCTTCTGGGCGCCAAGCACACGCGCCAATGTCGCGAAGGACATGCCGCCCACCACGTTGTTGGATCCCCGGATGATCGCCTTCAGGGGGGGAGGGCAGAGAGGGGAGAGAGAGGGAGGGAGAGCGAGAGAGCGAGAGTATAGAAAAACAACAGATCAGGAAAAACATGGGAAAATTTGTACAGCACCAGCAGAAGGAAGAATTTCAACTGTGTGCATCATCAGGTGTTTTAAAGTGTGTATCGGAAAAGTATCGGGCCTATTACCTCAATACTTCCCATACACATTGACATCGACCTCGACCTTAACATCATCATCATCATCAGCAGCAGCAGCATTTGTGACAGCTCCCCCCCAAGCCCATGCACCCCAGCGGTATCGCGAGCCCCCTCCTATTGCAACACCCCCTGGGCCCCCCCCGCCCTACCTGATATATGCGGAAGAGCGTCACGGGCATGACCTTCACCAGCACTGGATCCAGCCCCCCCAGGATCTGGTACCGCAAGTTGGACGAGACACCCATATGTACGGCCCACGTGAAGGCGTTGTACACAACATTGGGCGGCTCGTTCTGAAGCTTAAAATCCGGATCCATCTGTTTATGTGTTTGTTGAGTACACACGTTTTCGTACGTACGTGCGTGTGTGTGTATGTGTGTTGGGGGGGAGGAAGGGGGGAAAGGCGAACCACTGAAGATGGAGGCAGTTACCAGAGATAAGAGTGCGGATGCTCCAAGGTGAGAGGAGCAGGGGAGGAGGGGGCGGGGTTTAAAACGGGATTATGCAATGTGCGACGGGGATGCCAGCCGGTTTCCTTCCCTCTTCTCCCCCCGTCCCCCTACACTTGCATACATACACATGATGGGGGACCGCCTCCCATTTCATCACTCCTCAAACACCCCTCTCGAATCCGCCTGCCGGCTCCTCGGGTGTTTGAGGGGTGTTGAAATGGGAGGTGGCCCCCCATCATATGGACGATGTAGAACGTGATAATATCAACTTGCGAGCTGACCAGGAACTAAGTTGATGCGCCGTTGATCCGCTAGATTTGGTTGGATGCTGGTGGTGAGTTGCCGAACCCAACGAATACATTCTGAAGTCGGATGGGGTGACGGATTAGGGTGCCCCTCTAGCAGGGGAGAGCAGGGACTGCCCCGGGAAAGGGGGCCGCTGGCGAAGTTAACCACCCTGTAACAACATACATACACAAAAATTCCCCCTTCCTCCTTCCATACATACATACGTACATACATACACCAGCCCTCACCTTCTTTCGGAGCGCCAGAAGTCCATTGGACAAGCTGGTACCCGCCACTCCGGCGAAAAAGCCGATGACCGCGAAAACGGTACCCTTATAAACCAGGTTCGTTAGTCGTTGGGCAACCGTGAAGGCGCCGGGCTCAAAGCAGTTGCCGCCTGCGCGCGTGCGTGCGTGCATGTGAATGGGCGTCATTTAACATGTCCATAGTAAAGTGCATTTTCGCATGTCTCTGTGTGTGAGTGTGTATGTGAATGGCGGCCCTTCCGCCAGCAGCAGAGTGGCCCCCCACCCCCACCCCACCCCAGTACTGCCGCAACCCCCCCCCTCAACCCTAAAAAATCCCAATGAAAACCCCCCAATGACCCCCCCATTGACCAGGACCCCAGAGAGACACAAGGCTCACCTGGTGCACCCCACGCCCTGAGATAGTAGTCCCCCACCAGTCGTACCAGCAGAGGTGCTGACGCGGCTGATGCAGCTGCCCCCGCTGTGGGTGCCAGCAGGAACATGATGCTGAAATTCATAATGGAGCCCACCTGGCCGACAGACAGACAGATAGACAGACATATAGACAGGTACAGGGGATGGGGTGAGGGCAAAGCGGAGGGGGAATCCTACGTGCAGGAAACCGTACAAAGAGCCAACTGAAGACGTCAACTAAAGCGCGCAGAGCGGCTCAGGGAGGAGGTGTTAGGGAGGATCGAATCGAAGAAACAACGGCAGCCGCACGCATGTGTTTTCCCCCTGCCTCTCTCGTGGCGCCATGTCGGGGCCCAGAGCGGGAGAGCCCACCCGCCTATCCCTCCTCCTGCCTCCCTTTATAACGCCGTTCCCGACCCGATCCTGTAGGGAAGAAACCCTACCCAAATGCCCCCTACCTACCAGCTCTCAACACATATTGGTCCGTCACCCAACACAGGCCGCCTGGCACTCCGAGACAGACGCAGTCCGATTCCAGGTCCAGTAGGATGTTATCAGGGCCTCGCGTCAGCAGCCGCCACTCCCCCTCCCTCCCTCCCCCCCTCCCTCTCCCCCTCCCTCCCTCTCCCCCTCCCTCTCCCCCTCCCTCCCTCTCCCCCTCCCTCTCCCCCTCCCTCCCTCTCTCCCTCCCTCTCCCCCTCCCTCCCTCTCTCCCTCCCTCTCCCCCTCCCTCCCTCTCTCCCTTCCGCCTACACACAAAGCTCCCCCCCCAGGTCCCCCAGGTCGCCCACAACCCACCACTAAGGTGCTGAAGATGAAGTCCAGCTCGTTAAGACCTGTGAGAGCGAGAGAGGACAACAGGATTGCGTGTCAATGAATTAAAGATTCGATCATCCAGATAAGAACGAATAGGTTTTACTGGGGTTTAAAGGCATTGGGGATAGACATGGCCCAAACAGTGAACCCGACCATTTTTGAGTGACCTTGACGACACCCATCCAGCGGCTGGGAAGCAAGCTCAAATTCCTTAAGGTGACTCCCTTCTTCCAGCTGCAGGCTACAACCTGAGAAGAAACAAATACGCCGCCGCCCTAGCCATTCAGCCCGCATACACCCATCCACGCCTTTATTCATCATCCATATTCACAGGGTCACCAGCCTGCAGACAACGCAAAATCCTGACAAGCAGTGCCAGCCCATTTCAGCCGTGTCGCGCATCAACCCGCATCCCGTCTGTCCATCTGCCAGCCCTCCGGCTCTCCGACTAAGGGACCCGGTGCCCTAGGGGGCCCCGGGTGTCACGCACCCCAATTCGGTCGGGCGCTCATGTCGCCAATGACACAGGCGCTGACTCCGATGACCTGTTCCATGAGCACCTTGATGGGGAACTCTGGGTCGTAAGCGACGCGCTCCTCCCAACCCCGGAACAGGCCGCCTTTCTGCGGCTGGCCGCCAGGGTTGTTGTTGCTGCTGTTGTCATCATCACCCTTGCCATTTCCCCCAGAACCCCCGCCGCCTGAACCTCCGCTGCTGCTGCTGCCGCCATCTTTGCCACCCAAGTCGCCGCCGCCTGCAGCTGCCTGGGTAGCGATAGGGCGTGGCGGGCGCAGCGCTCGCCTGCGGAAGGATGCTGATTGTTCAAATGTTCAAGTCGGCGGGCGCACTGTTCGCGAGGTGCTGTAATAAGCGTATGAGGTCTTGTTTCGTCTTATCTCACCAGGATTGGATGGGCACCGGCGTACGTTGGATGCTTGGGCGCGCAAAGGGTGCGCGCGGTTGAACAGGCTTCATCAAGCTCTCCATACTGCGCCCTAAGCTATGGGAGAATGGGCAAGCTGTAAATGGAAGTATTTAAAATTCGATACTTCTAACGGATTATACTGACGCTCTTGGTCCGTTGGTGGCGCGTCGCAGCTGTCTATGCGGCGGCGCCAAAGGAAGGTAGCAGGTTTAAACAGGATAGATGACCGACGGTAAAGCCACGACACGATCCTGCCACGATACACAAAAGCCACAACACCTGGAAAGCGATGGGGCTATGTCGTAATGTCGAACTCCGTACATCGCGAAACCCCTGCTGTCAGCTATCTTGCAGGACCCATTTACACATGCAATATTGTTGAATTATTTAAATCGCGCTTCTTTTAACAGCGGCTTATCCATCCACGCGCATGCTGGTCAACAGTATCGTGCTGGTAGCTGGATTGTTCCACAAGAGAGACAGGACAAGACAGGCGGCATTTTGTACGTGTTCCTCTGCATGTTGCTAATGAGCACACATACACTGCATCAAATCGATATGACGTTAAACTGCTGCTGTGTGTGTGGTGTGGGGAATGATTGACCTTTCCGTGAAGGAGGGACAGCTGTTGTAATATGGGGAACAAAATAGCATTACTTCAACGCTCTTAATAGTAGAGAGAATATTAAATACAGAAGACCAAAGTATGGAGCTCATGCGTAGCAGAGCCCCAACTTCGCAGATCAGATTCCAGGTCAGAGTCGATAGATTAACTCCCCAACCCATGGCTCACCCTGCTCTAGGTGGGGAAAGCTGATGCTGCTGGGGTGCCGGAGAACCACCCAGTTTTAAAAGTGCTGCGTTGCCAAGATATGCGTATTTGGGTCCTGGGAAAGCTTCCTGTTTGAAAGAGATACGCCCGAGGAAAGTAGTGGTAGAGGAGGATGGACAAAATGCCTTTACGTATTGGGTTAGGCCAATGAAAGGGCATTCAGTTGGCGTGGCAGTGGACGGATACCGTCACATCACGACTGCTGCCAGTGGCGCCTGCTATTGCACCGTACGCACCGGTCAGCTCGCTGCCTCTGCATGCATCACACCCTTTCCAGCAGTGTAAAAAAGTGTAAAAAGTATATATTTTTACAAACATTGGTTGTCCTGTTTCTGTGTTCTGCGGCTCGTGTCCTGATCGCTCATGCCGAGTGCCGAGAGGGGCCAAGGGGAAATTTCAGGGGGCGGGGACCCTATCGCACGGGCCCCTTCACGCTAGGCGGCCCCACGCCGCCTGGCCCGAACTTTATCGTTTGGCTTGCCTTAACGATAAACCGCTGACTGGTTGCAGTGCTTACACAGCAAGCATGCAAACGGAGCAGCGTTCACCGTAATTTGTGAACCTGCACGCATGCACCTCTCCCGCCTTTCACCACACAAGCTTCACCAACGCGTGTGATACCCACGCCATTAGGGTGTGTTCACATGTAGTCCAATTGAGAGTCTGATTGGGAGTCCGATTCGGGGCGGCTTTCTGAATTGTGTTCACATACGTTGCGGCCACCGCGCGAGGTGCCACCGCGCCCAGCTGAAGCTCCGCGGCTACGCCCCATCACCCATGGCAAGCCAGCATTATCTAGGAACAGAACAGTATAAGTATCGTTTCTATGGCGAAAATTATCACCAGGCTTGTACATACATAGCTGCAGGAGTTCGTGAAAAATGCTCGGTGCGCTTTGCGTGAATTAACAATTGGACAAGTCGGGTGTCGGCTTCCTCGAAGCCGGAAAAAGGGCGGGCCCCCCCTGCATCCGTACAGGCCGGTAGCTAGCGCGGCACGTGTGACAATTGATGGGTAGTGTCACCGCTGTGGGAGATGTGCTTTGTTGCAGCAGTGCTGATGGTGTGGGAGCTAAGCTTGCACCGGCGGAATCGTCAGCACCGCCTGCGGGCTCCACGCGAATCGCATCCATCCCGGGTGCATGCCGCATGGACAGTGCGGCAGACCGCAAGTCGGAATGCCCATGCGGGCAAATGGTAACGAAAGCTGGGTGAATTTCGGTGCTGTCTGTGATGTTTATCCCCGATGCGCCAGCGGCCTCAGCAATCCGCCCCACAGCCAGCGGCCTCAGCAATCCGCCCCACAGCTTCATCGGGGCACACCGCAAGTCTCCGGAGGCCCCGTGCATTGGCCAAAGTAAATGTACAAACAAGGAGCTTGTGTATTTCATAGAGAAATGAAAGCAAATTATGTTGGCCTGCTGGTGGCAAGTCGGATTGCCCATGCCGGCAAATGGTAACACAAGCTGGGTGTTCAAGTTATCATACGCCGTCATCTCAGAATTCCATTGTGAGATACGCGGCAGCTTTTGGGATGAAATTTAGCGCGAGAGGCGTCGATGTGGCTTTTGAGGTCGGTGAATGGAGGCAGCTAAACTTGTTTGTGCTCATACGGTCTTTGTTAGCTACATGCGAGATACCTTGCAATAGAGAATGCTGTATAGTACCGATAACGCGTTTCAGCCGGGTGAAATATTCAGTTTGGTCCGTTACACACTCAAGGCCTGGGAGTTCGAGTTATCATACGCCGTCATCTAAGAATTCAAATATGAGATACGCGGTACCTTTTGAGATGAAATTTAGCGCGAGAGGCGTTGATGTGACTTTGGCCTCGGTCAATTGAGGCAGCCAAACTTGTTTGTGCTCATACGATTTTTGTTGGCTACATGCGAGATACCTTGCAATAGAGAATGCTGTATAGTACCTATAACGAGTTTCAGGCGGGCGAGATATTATGTTTGGTCCGTTACACACACACACACACACACACACACACACACACACACACACACACACACACACACGGACATGGGCAATCCTACAGGTCGGGGCCCCCCTGGGCGCTTCGCGCTGGGGCCCCGCCCAAAAATGTTCCTATAGTATTGTAATGGTAATTATGAGAAACGGTTTGTTAAACAACTTTGTTTTGAGAAAGAAAACTGTGAATTACGTCGAATCATACCCGAAGAGGCCCCCCCGGACCCCAATTCCGATTCGGGTCCAATCAGGTCCAATTCAGAGTCCAATTCGCATGAATCAACCCTGATTCGCCCACATGTGAACACGTCCTTATTACAACCTTAATATATTGACAATCGTTGCAGTTCACCTTGTCTTAGACCGGTATCGCTGTATGTATGTAGCGGGACGTTGTGAGGTGTATGAGGTGGCCGTGGTACAGCATGGCACTGCACACCGACGGCCCATATAAATGGGCCGTCGGTAGAATGGACGGCCCATTTATATAGTGCGCCTTCGTGCGAGCGGTGATGCAAGATCCCTAGAACATACGCACGTCAGCTTGACTCTAAAAATGCATTGGCCCATATGAATGAATTCCAGCTAAGGGGACCCCAGCGAAGGAAAGTTGCAGCTTGGAGTGTTGTCAATTGCAGCAGTCAAATAGGGCAAATACAAGTACACCGCAACGCAGGGGTTGGCATGGGACATGGACCTTTGGTTTGCAAACGGAGCAGCGTTCACCGTAATTTGTGAACCTGCACGCATGCACCTCTCCCGCCTTTCACCACACAAGCTTCACCAACGCGTGTGATACCCACGCCATTAGGGTGTGTTCACATGTAGTCCAATTGAGAGTCTGATTGGGAGTCCGATTCGGGGCGGCTTTCTGAATTGTGTTCACATACGTTGCGGCCACCGCGCGAGGTGCCACCGCGCCCAGCTGAAGCTCCGCGGCTACGCCCCATCACCCATGGCAAGCCAGCATTATCTAGGAACAGAACAGTATAAGTATCGTTTCTATGGCGAAAATTATCACCAGGCTTGTACATACATAGCTGCAGGAGTTCGTGAAAAATGCTCGGTGCGCTTTGCGTGAATTAACAATTGGAAAATGTTCCTATAGTATTGTAATGGTAATTATGAGAAACGGTTTGTTAAACAACTTTGTTTTGAGAAAGAAAACTGTGAATTACGTCGAATCATACCCGAAGAGGCCCCCCCGGACCCCAATTCCGATTCGGGTCCAATCAGGTCCAATTCAGAGTCCAATTCGCATGAATCAACCCTGATTCGCCCACATGTGAACACGTCCTTATTACAACCTTAATATATTGACAATCGTTGCAGTTCACCTTGTCTTAGACCGGTATCGCTGTATGTATGTAGCGGGACGTTGTGAGGTGTATGAGGTGGCCGTGGTACAGCATGGCACTGCACACCGACGGCCCATATAAATGGGCCGTCGGTAGAATGGACGGCCCATTTATATAGTGCGCCTTCGTGCGAGCGGTGATGCAAGATCCCTAGAACATACGCACGTCAGCTTGACTCTAAAAATGCATTGGCCCATATGAATGAATTCCAGCTAAGGGGACCCCAGCGAAGGAAAGTTGCAGCTTGGAGTGTTGTCAATTGCAGCAGTCAAATAGGGCAAATACAAGTACACCGCAACGCAGGGGTTGGCATGCGCGATCGAAATATGCGTTAGAAAGAAAACTCGATTCCCTAGAACTGATGCTCCCTGCACTTCGGCGATGAGATGAACCCGAGTGGTCAACTGAGAGCTCGTGCAATTATACACTTATGGATCACATAGCACGCATAACATGCTGTTCACCTAAGCGGTAGTCGCGGATCCTTGCGGAGAAGTCAGCGATCTTGGCCGTGGGCAAAGAGTTGTAATATTGAGCTGCCCACTTACGGTTGAACCAACCACCTGACCAGTACTCAATCCCTCTGAGTTGACGCCATCATCTTGCGGATGCAACTTTTTCATTAATATAATTGTGCGCGACTCCTAAGCGGGCAAACCTGAGTCGCAGCCAATTGTTCAGCACTAGAAATGAGTAGGCAATCGCCTTAAGAGCTGGCAAAGGAAGGACCAAAGACTCTTTCATATATGGGCTGAAAACCCAGATAGCTGCATGCCCGCTTTTCTGTTAAGGGAATGCTTCCGTACTGCTGTGTGTCGCAGTCTCGCAGAGACGCAGACATTTCGGTGCACGGCTTAATACCATCAAGGACCACTTTGTGTTATAGCAAAAGACAGATTTTATACAATTTATGTGCTTAAGCTGTGCCGCCATAGTCCAGGGCTAGTCTGTGGCGTTTAGCCTCAGCGACGGAGGCATGTCGGGACTGGGCGGTTTGAGAGGCGTCCCAGCCACTCAAGATGCGCGCTTCTCAGAGTACGTGGATGATTATCCCGCTTCATTGGAAGTCTTGCCTGAGATCCCTCGCCAACACTGCCTTACGTGTTTAACTGTAGTAAGCAAAAGAAGGCTTTGAAGGACCTTATAAAGGCTGGCAAGGTTCCAAAGGAACTTGAACTTAAGGTTGACCTTAAAAAGGTTAACTGGCCGGTACGTGGTGGCGCAGGGCTTCAGCACGTTGCTTTCCACATGGCGCAATGCATGGGTGTGGGGGTGAGGTATTGGGGCGCATGCACTGAAAATTACGCCTGCTCTAAGGCCGGTAAGGCCGGTGGTACGTCGGCTGCGGGGCCCAGAGGCACCTCGACACGAGCCCCTGTGGGCAAACCCAGGGCAATGCCAAGCAGCGGCGACTGAATTGGTGGATGTATGCTGACCGTCTCATCACAGGTCATGAAGGAATGGATTGCCAAGCGCGTGACGCAGCTGCTCGGGGGTCTGGAGGAGGAGGTCCTCATCGGGATGGTTTACAACTTCCTAGAGGACCCTGAGGTGCGTGTGAGGCGGGCTGCGGTGTGACTGCCGCAGCCGGCTGGAAAACAAAATCCACCTCGCGTTTCGACGGTCCAGCATCCCACCACTTCCTCAGCCCTTTAGTGCGCCTCCCCTGGCTTTCAGCTTCCAGCCATTTTGCTTGTAGAACCTGCAGCAAGCCCTTGACAAGCCCGTCTTTCGGCACTACCTCTGACAATACCGCGGTGTGTTCTTCAGTCGGCTTTGGGCACGTCACATATGCCGCCAGTCAGACGGCAAAGCAAAGCAACGCACCGCGCCCTTGTCGAGGCGTTTGTTGTTGAACTCACTGATTACATGTCAAGGTCAAGGCCTTTTAATTGCCCTTCCTTGGATTACTTGGCGACCTTTGCAGATGAACGGGAAGATGCTGTATGTCAATTTGCTGCCCTTCCTGGAGAAGAACACGTCCTTGTTTTGCAAGGTACGCGGTACCTCAAGCAGCTGCTTGGGTTAACCAGGGGAGAGCTTCACAGTCGCCAGCGCTAAGGGCGCCAAGGAGGGGGGTGGCGCGGAGGAGATCCTAGCATAGCAGCTCTCAAACAACGAAACGCTGTTAGCGGTCCAAACGTCACATGCATGTGTGCGTTTGGACGTGGTGGTGGTGGTGGTGGTGGCAACGCCACAACGTCTTGCAGGAACAAGGCCGCCGCCACAGCACAGCCCCCGGCCTTCCTCGAGTTAGCATTCCCGTGCTCCGTGTTTCGCATTTGTTTCGCATTCTATCCAACTGAAGAGGAAAGGACAGTCCGGCAGTGCAAAGGTCCGAAAGGATCCGTCTTGAATGTCGTTTTAGCGTTAGCTAAAGCCCTCCTTTAGATGATCATCTTGCCATCAGGGCTGTAGATAGATAGATAGATAGATAGATAGATATAGCCCTTGTTCTAATTTGAGTTGCGCGTTGAGCACTGGTCATAACTGAATGCGACTAGACCCGGCGTGCGTGCCCCCGACCTGGACCCAGCATCCAAGTTGTGGATCGCGTGCCGCGCCCGTGTCAAAAGAACCCCGTAGTGTCCGTCGTTGGGAAAATCAGTAGTGTCCCTCGCAGTGACCTTTTTTCCTTGGACTTCGGTGACTGTATTATATATATATGTATATATATGTATATATATATATATGTATGCCACGTCACGCCACGTAGGAGCTGTGGGTGCTGCTGCACAGCGCGAACCAGACGGCGTCGCGCATCCCCCAGGAGATGCTGGACGCGGAGGCCGAGCGACAGCGGCAGCAGCGGCAGCAACAGGAAGCAATCCAGGTGTGGGTGTGAGAGTGTGGGTGTGGAGGGGGGGGACGTTCTGCTCTGGAGGCTGGAAGCCGCCGCCTGTAGGTGACCTCTGTCGACCCGGCTGAAGGGCTGATGTGGGTCGGGACACACAACCCCGACATCTCTCTTTTCTCCTCTTCAGCTCCTGAAGCCCGTCAAGCTGCACTCTCGGGGATGCTTCCAAATCCCTGCCTAATTCCGTGCTCTCACACAATATGCCATTTACACGCTTTTATTGTTCCGACGGACCGACGGCCAAATGACGGGTGATGCAGATATTGGGATGCCAGGTGGCAGGGGAGTGCGGTCCAGCTCTTGTATGCTTTGATTGAAGAACGAAAGCAAAGCGAGGTACCTAGGTAGGCATGCGGTTACGACAGGGTCACATCTAGGCGTGGTACTGGGCAGTAACGCAATGCGAGAGTTAAAACGGCCTGACGTCATCACAGCACGGCACTGCCCGCAGTACGAGCCTTGACGCCTCCCTGGGCTCCTACTCGACATCTTCCACCCTAGCACTGGCTGCGACGTGCGTGAGGCCGACGTGCGGTTTGGGGTCCGCGCTGGCGCGCAGGCGGAGTTGGAGCGGCGGCGGATGGCGCAGGAGGCGGAGCGGGCGGCTCAGCTGCTGGCCATCCAGCAGAGACTAGCCGAACGTCAGTTCGCCGAGCCCGGCGACGGCGGCGGTGGCGGCCGCGATGCTGGGGTCAAGGGGGAAGCCGCCGACGCCAGCGGCGGCGGCGGTGGCGACGCTCAGGCTCTGCCGCCGCCGCCACCGTTACCATCGCAGCAGCAGCAGCAACAGCAGCGCGGCGACCGCCGGGAGCGGCGCGGGTGGGAGCCACGTGACCCGGAGCCGTCGGGGCCGCCGCGGGAGCGGGAGCGGGAACGGCATCGATGGGAGCCTCGGGACCCCGATGGTCATCCGCCGGCGGCGGCTCCGCGGCGGGAGCGGAGAGGCTGGGAGCCGAGGGAACCAGAACCCGACCCAAGGGACCGTGATCGGCACCGCGCGGCCCGGCCGAGCCGGTGGGACTCTGGACGGAGCGGCCGGGAGCGCGAGCGGGAAGACCGGGAGCGTGAGCAGCAGCGGCCCAGGTGTGTGCGCCCCTGGTCTTCTTGAAGCCTGTTCCGATCTGGAGGTGTAGTTTTGTAACTCGAGCTGTGGCAGTGCGGTGCTGCCAGCTTGGGTTGGCTTGGTTGCGGACGGGAGTGGTGGAGGGATGCTGTAAAAGGGCCCGTGCGATGTACGAGGTATAATTGAGTGGCCTTTTGAAGCTCGAGTATGAGGGCTCTGGGGGCGGCAAAGTGTGTTTGAGGGGATGTCTTCGCCTTCTCAAGATGTGGCCCACATGCAAAGGGGTGTTCCACAGAGGTGTACAGACATATGCGCACGGTCGGTTGCAGTCTTCGGCATCTGTAGTCTTGGTCGGGTACTGTGCGGAGCAGCGCGAACTGTGCGGCAAGAGAGCCGCATGCGACGATCAACGTCAAGATCATGGAAGCTCTCATGGGTCGGACCGCTTTCCGGACGCCCGCAAGGGAAAAACAACGAATCACAGACGATAACGGACGCGGGACGAAGGGAGCCGGCCGTTACGATGTGATTGCGAGCCACTGTTACTCTCTCAGGATATGCGGTCGCGCTGAGTGTGAGCAGGCGCGGAGGATCTTGACCCATCAAAATGGATGCTGGTGCCCCGAAGATACCCCCATGATCGCCCTCAAGTGCGCTCCTCTTGCCATTGCCGTTGCCACTCTTTACCGTTTCCAGTAGTGGTCCCATGCCCCTGTGTTGCTGAACCCACACGCCACTTTATTATCGTCCTCACTGTCGCAGCCGTTGGCGGTCCCCGGAACGCCGCCGCGCACCTGAAGCCCCGCGGCGGCGCTCACAAGAACGAGACCGGGATCGGACCCGGAACCGGTCGCGGTCCCGGTCGCGTTCATCGTCTCGTTCACCGTCGCGATCCCGCTCCCGGTCGCCGCCGCGGTCGCCATCGCGATCCGTTTCGCCCTCTCCTGACCGCCGCCGCCGGTCGAAATCTCGGTCACGATCGCGGTCACGATCGCGGTCGCGGTCCAGGTCGCGGTCCCCAGGGCGGCGCGAGCGCAGGTACGTTTAGGGAATGGACAGGAAAAAGGGCACGATGCGGTGCAGCGAGCCTTGCTTTTGCAATTTGCGTGGCTAGCGATGGCTTCGGTGCGTTTGGTATGCTGTTCCTGTCTGACGTTTTAGCTGCTTGAGGTATGCTGCACACGCGTCCTCATGCCATTCATTTGTGGTTGTTTGCCAATCGTGACACGTAACATGTCCGTATTACGTTGGCTTGCGTGCAACGTAGTCGGGAGCGGATCGGCGGACGCATGCGGGCACTGGCAAAGCGGAGCCGCAGCCGTTCGGTTTCGGAGGAGCCGCCGCAGCAGCACGCGCCAGTGGTGGAGCGCAGCCCTGTGAGGTGCGTTTTAAGGGCATGGTGTTTGATTGATAAACCAATCGCGCTACAGTCCTCAGTGCCAGCCGCACATGATGTCTTATAGGCCAGCGGAGGCCCGTAGAGGTGGATGCTTGTTTCAGGGAATGGCGTGGAACATGTTTCGATGTGCAGTAAGTAGCCTTGCCACTGAGCCTGGCGGTGCCATGACAGCGTTTCTTCTGACCGGTATCTTCGGACAAGCATCCCGCACACAGGCTGAACGGGGTCCTGGGTAACGGAAAATGTCCTCTCCCTGGACTGCCTGACTCGGCGCCTTCTCCTTGCTTTGGTCCGTCGTCCCGCTAAGATAGGTGCAACAAGGGTTTTTTCCACGAACTGTATAAATGACGCGTTAGATGGGAGCTATGCTCCAACGCGTCCTCCGTTCCACATATATGCTCACAATTTTATCCCAATGGTGTTCCCCAACTGGAGGTCGCCGGAGCGGCGCATGAAGGAGGACGCCCCTTCGCCACTTCGGGACGTGTAAGTGTACATGGCAATGATGTGGGGCAGGTGTATATGTGGGGTTGGTGAAATTAAACCTGCAGCCTGTAGTGCCAGAAGCGTATGGAGCTTTGGTTCCCTGTCCGCTTGTCGGCAGGCCCCTCAGGACAACCTACTTCACACTTGCTGGGAGAGTTCTGCCCACGGTGGAAGGTCACAGTTTTTTGACGGGCAGCGAGCTGACGTCTGTACGGGTGTCGTTGTTGGCATGCTGCGCCTGTGCAGGGAGCCCATGGAAACCCAGGCTGGGGATCAGCCGGCAGTTGGCCGTGGCGGTCGTGACAATGACAAGGACCGCAGCCGCTCCAAGAAGGAGAAGAAGGAGCACAAAAAGGACAAGAAGAGCAAGCACAAGAAAGACAAGAAGAGCAAGCGTGAGCGACGCGAAGCGGCCGAAGATGATGACGACAGGCGTCGTGGATCTGCAGATGACACCGGCGTGGCAGGCGCAGACAGCGATGGCGAACCGTCCGATCCGGAGCTGGCAGAGCTCCGGGCCAAGGCTTTGCAGTCGGCGCGGAGCTACTGAGTGTGGCAGGAATCCGCGCCAGAGGAGGCATCTAGCGTCTACATGTCGTCTGGACTGCGGACGTCTATAGTTGTTATGTGGGCATGAAACCCCGCCGTTTATGCGAACTGTATGTGGAGTTCAGTAATGGGGTCCATGGCGTGCTGACACGTCTATGCTCAAAGGATGAATATGGTCGATACTACGGTGTTGTCATAACCCGATGTAACATTGTGTAAGTTCTGCTAGTAGCATGCCCAAGACAGACAACGATTTCCATAATTCCGCTCTTACAGTTCGTATGGGACACTCGTCTCATCTGCCAGACATGCACCTGAGCACCATCCGAAGCAGCACGTTTTATGTACCTGTCTGTGTACATATATCTATTGACTAGCACCTTGCACCTTAATGCACAACAAGTCCCCAAGCCTCCATCACCAACATCCGAGGCTTATGGTATTGGGGATTACTACTATCCTGCCAATCGCGGCAGGAGCCAAGCCGTAACACAGTGTCCGCCGCGGACGTCTAAGCTGGGAGAACTTCCCTTGCCTAATAAACTAGAAGGCTACCTGATCATCGCCACGTCATCCTGTTCCTATGTGAACTGGAATAACAAAACTGGCTTGCAACGCCGTCGCCTCGTAAATCTTTTTCCGTCATGTCCCAGCGTACAGGCCCTGACCTGAACAACAGGCCTTGGCAAACGCACTAGACTCTGTGGTCCACCGCTGCAGTCTAACAAGGGAATGAATTCTAACCTATTGAGCTACCTACGACGATGTAATAAGGCAAGGATAGCTGCAACTGAGTAAATCGAAGGAACGGAGTCCCGGATCGCATGCCCATGCGGCAGCGAAGCTCTCTAAAGCGCCATTGCACATCACCAAGCACGTGCCTTTCAGGCGAGAACAACTCAATTACTAGGCAATAGTTCATTTAATAAACCTATGCAGCTGTACATTAGAGGCAACAAATCGTTCCACCTGAACACCGGTGTGTGTCTAGGGAGAATGGCTATCTATTTCCACCCAGTATTGTGTTCCCTCCGCGGCAAGCTTTACCAGATGTCCGTCCCCATGTGCGGCACTTTGGGCATAGCCATAATTGCAGAAAGGTTGTTGAGAGACAGCGAGACCAGCGGCGGACGGGTCCGCGCCGCTTCCCGATTCAACGGAGGGGTCACGGCCGTAAACTTCGTACGCTCGTTCCTCTCTTGCAGAAGGCGATTCAGCAGGTTGTTCTGCTCCTCCAGGTCACGCTGCCGCTGCCGCATCAGCCGATTCTGCTCCTAAAGTGAGGACGCGGGAAGAAGGTTGACTCAGCACTAAATTCACGTGTTCATGCTATTGCATGATTTGGCAGGACAACCTGGACAAATGAGCACTCAATTTTCGCAAATCCTGCCTTTGTCAAGTCGGAAAAGCTCCTTAAAGCAATTCCTTCACCTCATGTCTAGTTATCGTCCTGCCGCCAGTCCCGTACCCAACACCCAAGCACCGACCAAGCTCATACTGAACCTCCTATCCGATATGGATGCAGCATTACCTGCAGTTCTCCCACATGCTTCCATGCCGTTTCCCGTTCTTTCTGGAGTCTTGCGAGGTCAGCTGCAAGGGTCTTTATGGAGGCCTGCAATTAGGTCACGAGTCGGTGTTGCCAGTGGGCCTATGCGTGTGTGTGACGGCCAAGTTAGGCGTCTGGCAAAGAGTTGGCAATACCTGTGTGTCGGCCTCAATCTTAGATAGTCGCCCTTCAAGCTGGCTTATTTGCTTGCAGCAAGAGCACGACTGCGTTCCGAAGGATAATCCAGGAGTCAGCCCAACATCAAGAATGCCATTTATAATTGCCTGGGCCCACCTTGCCACTTGGCAGCTGGTTCGACGCCTTAGCATGCTTTGAAGGGTTGGTTTGCCGGCTTGTTCCGGCTGTCGATGTACTTCTCTGGTCTTGATGGCGCCCGGGTCCCGACTGAGCGGCAAATGTATCCTGCAATACAAATACGTATTTGTTTTTGTCATTGGCAGGTTGCGCTTGGCAGCAGCAGCCAAGGCTTGGTACCATGCTCTAGACCCCTGTCGCATCGCTGGTCAGCGAAAGCTCTTACGTTGGAGGAGGCGTCCCGCATATCCAAACTCGCTCTTCGCGGTGGAGGAGGCGGTGGTGGCGGAGGTCCAAAACTTGGAAAGAGGCTGTTCGACGTATTGACCGGCGCAAACATAGCGCCGCGAGTAGGCGCTCGCGGGTTGCGCGGCCGTGCTAGCAGTCGGGGCACCAGGTTATACGACTATTATCTCTTTTACAATGTCACTAGCGTTTGCAGACTGCCCTCAAATTGTTTCCCGCTTAGCTGCTAGTAAAAAGTTTGAATATCTGCAGAGGATGAGCAGTTCCCAGCTATGCGTTGAACTACATAATACACGTTAGATATGACCGCGTTCAAAGATGTAATTTTTGTACTATTGGTGGCCGAGGAGCACGAGTTACTTCCCTGTTATGCCGTGCTGTACACACCCTGCCGCCCCGGTGCGACATGCTTTGCAAATCTCGACAGGCTACACAACATATATTGAAATCTATACAGTGGACATTTCATGGCAACTTAGTACAGTTTAAATAAGTATCTATCTCGAGTCTCCGCTAAGATGGCCACAGGCTTCGGTAGGTTTGCATTTGGCTATGGCTGCTTTGTCATCTCCCTTAAGGTAGTGGTATCTATATTGTCGGACTGAGCGCAGGCGGAGGCTTCAACTTCGGGGCGGCTGCGGCCAGTGCCCCCGCTTTTGGAGGTATGAAGTTGTAAATTGATGTGCTGTTGGGGCGAATAGTCTTATGATACTCGCTGCCGGCCCTGGTAGTGCGCGATGGAAAATGTGTCAGGTAGTTGCACCCGCCAAAACTGCATTTTGCTCAATATGGACAGCAGCTGCAATCATGACTTGTCCTGGGCTGTTAAGTAAAGATTAGAAGTTATCCCCCGCTAACTCCAAGCCTGCCAAACAAGCTTACTTTAGTAAGTCCGCACTCTCGCTTCGCCTGCCCTTGGGCCCACAGCTGCCACAAGTGCCCCCGCCTTCGGAGCGCCAGGTGCGAAACAGATGCTCCTTACCGTTCGATGGTGCTTGGCCTAGCTCCTCGCAAAACCCCACGCTCAATCTGGTGATAATAACCCTTCGGCACGGAGTTTGGGGTCTTCTTGCCATCGCATGTTGAAATGGCATACACCACACTTCGCTCGCTTTGACCTCCTAATTCTATGTCCCTGTTTCGGGTATGCATACACACCTCGGGAAGCAATTGAAGTTACGCATTCCGTATGTGTCCATTTGCTCCATGTAATAGCTTCCACACCAGCTTTCGGCGCACCCGCCGCAGCCTCTGCACCGTCCTTCGCATTCGGGAGCACCACGTCCGCATTCGGGTCGGCAACCCCAGCGACCCCCTCCGTGTTTGGCGCCCCGGCGGCTGCGCCCACGGCGGCCTTTGGCACGCCGGCAGCTGCCTCTGCACCGGCCATCGGTGCGCCAGCCGCCACTTCGGCGTCAGCTTTTGGCGCTCCAGCTTCCGCAACCGCGTTTGGTGCAGCCACCTCAGCCCCTGCCTTTGGGGCACCAAGCACTGGGCTTAGCTTCAGCCAGCCGCCTGCCGGTACGTTGGACGGCACAGGGGCCAATCAAATGCCATATGGATAAATCACTGGGAGGGGGGTTAGTCCTCTGTGTTTGGAGAGGGGGATTAGTTGGAATCCGGATGGAAGGAGCTAGGTGGCTCGGCGGCTGTTCACTTATTCGACATTGGACAGTGGTGCTGCTGATGGAGCGCCCAAGCCAGCAGCCAGCTGGGTTAATGAACCTACCGGGTGCCGGGGCACGCTAGCGTTGTGTGTTTTGTAGTGTAGCTTTGCTGTTGCTGTTATGGACGACGAGCACTTGTCCAGAGGGGTAAATCGAACCCTCAGGAAATGCGGTTCCCGGTGGCTTAGGATCTGTACCGTAACCGTATTGTCAGTCTCAACCACGTAAAAGAGTCATGTGTGCACCATAGTGCGCGTGTTGTGCATGCTTTTTTCGAAGTGTCGACGCGTTTGTCTCTTTCGCCCTTCCCGTTGATGCAGCAACGGGGGCGTCTTTGTTCGGCAGCACAGCGGCACCGGCGGCGGCCACATCTGGGCCTGCTGCCACCGGCTTTCCTTTCGGTACTGCGCCTGGTGCCTCATCTGCAGGTGCAGTGGCAGAAAACTAACGTGTTTCCGGGGCTTGGTGTAGCGCAGGACATCCAGCCTAGCTTGTTTTTACAGTTTTGTGGACTGCGGATTGGGGTGGGACAACATGGAACAAGTCCAACACGTCTTCGTAATGTGACTACTTACGGGCGTCACACGGATTGACTTCAAAATGCTGTTTGTTTTTGTTCCGCCGGGCAAACCACAAGGGACCATGGGAAACACAAGGCATATCGACGGGGCTGTGATAACGACCCACGTGAACCCGTTTCCCTTCCTCTTGGCGTGTGCTTCTATGCACCTTCCCGCATCTGCTCGCCTATCCCGGCAGCCGGCGGAGGCGGTCTGTTCGGAGCCTCTGCACCGGCGGCAGCGCAAGCAACCGCCAGCACGCCAGGCTTCTCCTTTGGTAGCACAGCACCAGCAACTACAGCTTCCGTCCCCGCCGCCGGAGGCGGCCTGTTCGGCGCAGTCCCCACTCCCGCTGTTGCTGCTGCTGCGCCAACCGCCCCAGCAGCCAGCGGCGGCCTCTTCGGTGCGGCGCCAGCTGGCGGCAGTGGTGGCGGTGTCTTCGGGAGCACCGCAGCGCCGGCTCCGGCCCCTGCAGCAGCGCCGGCGGCAGGCGGCTTTTCCTTCGGCGGAACTGCACCCGCGCCGGCGGCGGCTGCGGCTAGTGCACCGGCTGCCGGCCCCGCGCCTGCCGCTGGCGCAGCAACTGGTTTCAGCTTCGGGGGCGGAGCCGCAACTGGTGCCAGCACGGGTGCGTCGCTGTCTGGGGGAGCGGCAGCGGGGCCCCCCGCGACCTCCGCCGCTGCCTTTGGCGCTCTGGGTGGTGGCTTGGCGGGTACAGCGCCGCCGGCGGGGGCGGCTTCGTCGGCACCTGCGTTCAGCTTCGGAGGCGCGGCGGCGCCGGCAGCCGGTGCTAGCTCTGCGGCTGCATCAGGTGAGAGTCTAGTCGGGCTCTCGCTGAGATTGCAATCCTTTGCAGGGAGTAGTTTGCTCGTTAGATTGCTCTCACGTGCCATGCGCGCGCACAGGCCTTGCAATATGATACCTGTTGGCCGGCGCATCATCGGAAGGAACTAGGTGACTGATCAGCGAACCGCCGGGGCCTACCTATCGCAGCCGTTAACAGGTCGTACCGTCGCTTTGCCGGGTTGGGTTATTGCGCGAGGGCAGGACAGGACAGACGCGCTTATTGCTGGGGAGGGGGTAAATGCCAGGGGGGGGGGCCGAAGGGTAGCGCTACATCACAGCGTGCAGCTGTGAACCAATATTCCGACGCCTCAAAACACAGCTCATAAGTTGTTTTATGATATCACGGCCAGCAGTTGCGGGGTGTGGCGACTGTGGCTCGATAAGTTCTCACCCATCCTCAAGCTCTGCAACGGGATGATGCAGATGCGACCCTGCGCGAATGCGGGCGGTCCCAGAAATCTGACATCACCACCTGAACCGCGAACGCTACTTGTGATCTCCGTGCTGTGTGCCAAAAAAAATGATGACCTCCCGCGTACCGCATCAATACCAATACAACGTCCATTGCCCCCCCCCCCGGCTTTTACGGACACACCCGCACTTGTGTGCGGAACTTGTAACTTGTATAATAGGCTTCTCTCTCGCACCGGCGGCGGCGAGTTCAGCTGCGTCCGGATTGTTCGGGACTGCTCCCACGACCACCTCCACGGCGCCGGCGGCTACCAGCACCGCAGCAGGACAAACGGCAGCAGGTGCGCGGTTGGGGAGTGCCGGCATATGTTGTTGCCTACATGAGAAGGCACGAAGGCGGGGGCATGAGCTCTAAAGGCCTAGGCATTTGTTGTAGTGGGGATACTGTATGGTGGACCTAGGCACCCTCACGCAGCACGCCCTGTACGCGACCCTAGGGCTCCCACTCGGGCAGTGCGCATTTGGCGATTTGGGTCGGAGTCCTGAGGCCGGTGATGTCATGTCTTCTCATGATTCCGCGCGCGTGTGCAGGTGCACCTGGGTCAGCAGCACCAGCAGCTGCGGCATCCTCCGCAGCTGCCTTCTCCTTCGGATCGGCTGCGGCGGGGACCGCACCTGCTGCCGCCGGCACCGCGGCCGCATCTGCGCCGGCCAGCTCGGCCGCCTTTGCCTTCCCGTCGGCAGCAGGTAGGTGGCATGGGTGATTTGTGGAGAGGGGCGGGAGGCGCGGGGGACCGGACCGAAGCGGACTTGGGCCTTATGGGTGAAAGCGGGGTGATGGAGTAATGGGGCCAAGGCCGGACAACGGCGACACGACCAAAACCCAGCCGTTAAAGCCTGTTGGAACTGGGGTGGGGGCTAGGGTATGGGGTCAAGGTGGGGAGGACCTGGGCGGAGGGTGCACATTGTGTTTTTGCCTTTTTGCACGTCAATCCTTCCAGTTCCGTCTGCAGGCGCTAGCGGCCGATTGTGAAATGCATGTGGACGGGAACCTGGGGTGGACGTACGCACAGAGGTGCCACGCACAGCCTCTATCGCGGCCGCTGGCACACAGCCGGGTGGCACACATCGACCACCGTCACATGGAAAGGAAGCCACCGCGCCATGCTCTCGCGCTGATTGACATCGCCCGCCTGCTTGCGTGGGTTGCTGTCCTTATCATCCGCAGGCGCGACTGCACCCGCCGCCGGGACTGCCGCGGCGTCGGCCGCTGGCACTGCGCCCGCAGGCACCGCAGGCGCGCTTGTGCCAGCAGGCGCCGCCGCCGCTGCTGCACCAGCGTCCGCAGCCACTCAACCCCTGGTGGGTACACGAGCAGTCCCAGATCTCAGCGGGAGCGGCCTGCTGCCGCCGGACAATGCCGATACGCCCCTCACTGCATCCCCTGCGTGTTGCTCTCCAGCCAAAATGGAGTCTACCCACTGTCGCGTTCACAGCTTTACTGCATCCGCTTTCACTCCTGCGGTCCCTGCGCCCTTGTGCATTTGTTGTGACCCAAGCCGTGTTGCATTGCGTTACTGGCACACGCCCTGTGTTGCAGTGTTGTGGAAGGGTGTCTTCTTTGGACACGTACATGTTTGTTTCACGCAATTTGGACTTGGATTGCCAAGCAGGCTTCCATGGGTTTGGATGGATAGGCATCCAAGCCTGATGCGTGGGAGCCATGCACCTAAAAAAACCGAAGCATAACCACAGCGTTTTTGATATCGGCAGTTGGTACCGTCTTTGCATGTTTGCTGCAGACAAAGCACCTGCTGCAACATGTAACTCAACACACGGCTGTGCCCATCTTCCTCCCTTTTTTTCCCGTGATGCGCTGCCTCTTACAGTTGCCGGTGTCACTGAAGGGCAAGAACATTGAGGAGATCATCAACGAGTGGAATGCGGAGCTGGAGGAGCAGGTGGCGGCGTTTAACAAGCACGCGGGTAAGACGGGTTTGATGAGGTGGCGTAGGAAGAAGGACGACGAACCACAGAGGCGGGTGAAGCTGATACCAGGGATAGAGAGGGACGGATATACATACCCCGCATGATTAATATACAGATGTACATACGCCGCAGGATTAATATACAGATGTACATACTGCATCAGGAGTAAAATTGTAAGAAGCTACCAACCAGTAGTGACTTGGGAAGTGGTCAAATCGCGGCGACGTGGCCAGCTCTGGAACTCTTCGACTTTCGATCCCCCGATTCATCCCCCCATGTTTTTAACCCCCCCCCATCCACGTTTCCTTTCCCTTCCCGCGCGTGCAGCTTCCCTGTCCGCCTGGGATCGCACCATCCTGCACAACCGCTCCTGTTTGCTGGGGGTGGAAGAGGAGCTGGGAGTGGTACGTAACATTGGCGTTGATGAAATTGAACACTGGGAAAACGAACCTCGGGACAGTTTGGAGGGTGAGGGCTATATTTTATGGTTGGGCAGCTGGAGGCGGCCACGGGTGCGCTCTCTGCAACACACTTGGGGACAAGTACGTCACCATCTCGTTTGGCACCTCACCTCATTCGGCACGACCCAATTGCACATCACACCACACCATTCTACACCATTCTACACCATTCTACACCATTGCGCTGCAAGGGAGCGAGTCGAGCGGTGAGAGCTGGTCTTCTGTCCCCTTTACTTCGCTGTCCAAGACAGCAACGAATGACTGTCTACGGTGAAATGGCCGCTGTTATCATCGTTAAAAAAGCTGTGTGCGCTCCGTTTCCCTCGTTTCCCTCCTCCTCTTACACGGGATCCTGCGCCGTGTTTCCCTTCCCCAGGTGGCTGCCGGGCAAGATGCACTCGACAGGAAGCTCACAATGCTGGAGACCCACCATAAGGTGTGTAAGGAGTATGAAAATGGTTGGATGTATGCATGGATGAATGATGGTGGTGGTGAACTGGTGAAGTGGTGGCTCGGGGGCTAGTGCGAGAGGAAACCCGTCCCCGCCTTAGGACTCTTTTTTTGCCAAAAGTCTCCTGCTCCACTCCGCACCACCCGCACGATGTTGTTTGACGTTGTCGTCCCGCAGGAAGTCCACGACGCGCTGAGCAGCATTGAGGCGGAAGCGGAGCGCATGTGTCTGGCGGAGCGGGTGCTGCTGGACGGAGACGCGGCGGAGCGGGACCGCCTGTACGCACGGGCTGAGGTGCGTGTGTGTATGTGTAGGTGCCTGTGCATGTGTAGGTGCGTGTGTGCATGTGTAGGTGTAGGTGCATGTGTATGTGTAGGTGCCTGTGCATGTGTAGGTGTAGGTGCATGTGTAGGTGCATGTGCATGTGTAGGTGCATGTGTAGGTGCATGTGCATGTGCAATGCCCATCCCTGGGACCGCTTTCCAACTAGGTTTACACGACCTCTCGCGATTCCTTGAGGTCCGGCACATCCCCGGCACACACACCCTACACGCCTACTGAGTGCTGATGATGTGTCTGAGCCGGCAGTTCTTCCATCTCCCTACCCTGTGCACCCCGCACCCCGCCAACCAGCATGCCTACCTAACACTCGCCATTGTCCTCTGCGACCGGTTATGCTGTTCCTGACGTTTAGATATTATTGTTGTTGTTGTTACATGGTCGTGGGTGCTTTCCCCGTACCTGCAAACACCCTAATACGAGATGTTGTATGTTCATGCCGCTGCTGTCCTCCTCAGGCGCTGTCTACGGCGCTGGTGCGGCTGGGTGAGGACCTTGGCGGTGTGGTGGCGGATGTTAACGAGCTCAGCGGGGCGGCGTCTGGCGACCCCTCGTCGGCCCTGGGTGCAGTGGTCCGCATCCTCAACAACCAGCTATTGGTACGTGCGCATGTGTGTGGCAGGCGATGCACGCTTTTGCCAGTATGTGCGTCTGTATGAGTGTGGGGGCATTATTTTTTAGGTAAACGGGCCAACGTATCTATTACCCGAGAGTGGTCAAATAGGCGGTCGGGCCGTCGATATCCGATTATTATCGGTATCCCATGTGTATACATATGTATATATATATATGTATATATATACATATATACATATATATACATATATATATACCGGGTGTCCTGCTATACCGTGGGACCAAGTCGCTAGTCACTGTGTCGCAGTAGAGGCCCCGATGATTCAAGCAAAATGGTATCTGAGGTTTCCTATGTCGCTGGCTATGTACCTGTCAGGCACACATTTTCCTGCTCCTACTCGATCTTTTTAGGCTTCACGTCGGAGTTCCGAAACACGTTTTTGTTTGTTGGTCTTGAAAGCTTCATCGATCCCGCGTCCCGGTCGTGCGGCTGGAGCTGAGGCTGAGATCGTTCCCTCTCTACTCCTCCTTCAACTTCCCCCCTTCCTTTCCAGGCATTGGGCCAGGTGGAGGGTCGGGTCAGCTCTTTGGAGCAGGAGGTGCAGGCGCTGGCGGGCGGGGAGGCCACCAGCAGTGCGGTCTCCATAAATAGCTTCCGGATGTGACATCCTGTGTCAGGCACCAGCACCACTTTTTTATATCCTACAAGATAAATGCCGCCCAACTTATACCTAACAGCAGCAATACCACCGCAGCAGCACGAACACTGGAGTGTACAGATGTAACCACCAATGGCAGCACCCCCAGCTCCCCACCTGACCGACCGCACACAATCACCACCACGATCACCACCTCGAGATGAGACAGTGGGGTCTCCATGGGCAGGGTTCTGAATGTAATATGGTTGCCAACGCTTCCATTAGTAGATGCCGAATGTGTGTGCGCGTTTATGGGCGCGGCTGGGATTTTGGGTTGCAGCTGCTGGATTTGAGCTCTGTGTGTCGGCGAGTTTCGGCACGGACCGCAACGTCAGGAGGGGGGCCCCTATAAATGGATTAACAGATAGGGCAAGCTGTTCTTCAAGATTGTCAGTGCAGTCAGAAGCACGACAAAGGGAGGGCGGTAGAGGGAAACGGGCGGGTGGAGGCAGATGTGGAACGGCCCCATGTGGGACGGCCCTGTCCGGCAGCAGGGGGTTGACGGCTGCATGGGGGCTTGGGATGGATGGTGGATGGCGTTGGAACATTGCCTGGCAAAGGTAAGGTAATGTAAAGGATATGGTAGCACCAGTACGGACAGCCGCACACAGTGTCCAACTCTTCCAAGGAATTCCCGGACCTCCAAGGCGAGGTCTTTGGCTTGGGTAGACGAGCTTAGGACGAACAGCACTCCGCGCCGCTCGGTTGTTTCTTTTGATTCTGGAAGGCCATGAGCTCTACAGTGCAGAAGTACTTACCATTACGTACTAAAGGCGGGGATTTGTGAAGGATTGGTACTTGGCTCGCTCCGTACGCGATTGGCATGGACTAGTTGACATGCAAGGAAAGAGACCTTTGAGTGGAACAGATGCGGCTTTCCTCACTTTGTTAGGGTAGAATGTGTGTAATCGTGCTTTCGGCCGTGGCTCATTGTTGAGCGATTCCAGTTGGGAGTTGTTCGCTTTACCTCCCAAATAGGGGCCCCTCACACACCGGAGGGGTGCAGAGCGGTGCCCCATCCTCGAAGTACAAATACAAATAACATTTTTTTATAAAATTAACGGTTTATTGAAATATAACGAATAATAATTAATTTCGATAATTATTAAACTAAACCCAATTCTATGGCACAAAAAAAATCTTTAGTAACCCTGGAGGGCACGCATCGGTTGCCGGTTCGATCCATCCTATACACACCCGATTTTCTACTCTCGAGCCACACATCCCGCACCCTGGTGACTGCATCCCCTACCCTCCGCCACCGTCATCCTTGGTGGGTTGGCATCGACCCTTCCATGTTTGCCGCCATCCTCTCGACCCTCCGCCCTCCTTATTCTGCTAGGGGTTCCACATTTCTGTCCTACTCTTTCCCATCCGTATCTGTGCCCGACGATCCTCCACCGCAATCCTGACCGCGTTCTACAACCGTTCGCACACACTTGTTCCACTTGGCGTGGCTGGGAGCTGGCCTGGTGTAGCTGTGCTATAACCAGGTGATTCTTCATTTTGAGAACACAGTGAAATGGACCTTTTGGACGGCGGCCGTGCAGCGCTGGAACTCGGACCGCAACCATAGACATCAGCCACATGCGGTTACTTAAGGCAGCACTGTTAAAGAATAGACGAATGTGAAGAGATGCAAATTTACAAGTGCCTGCTGGCGACTGATCGGTGACTGCGGCCGTCCTGCTGAGTACCCAGTACCAGTTTACAACCAAAAAAATGAAAATGAAAAAGCTGCGTGGATGCATTCCACAAAGTAAACCTTTTCTTGGGCACTGTGCACAGGCAAAATGGCAAATTTCTGCGGCGAATTCCCCCAAGTACCAAGCGTCGTCCGCGCCCTCGGCCCTTCGCGCCTTCCGATATCTTGCATGGCGCCGCATCGCGCGAGCGCATCTGTGTCGTGCGTCGCTTCTCTCCACCACCTACTTGCGCGGCAGCAGCTCCACATCGAACTCGAGTGTTGCATTGGGTGGGATCACACCGCCAGCCCCGCGAGCCCTGCATACGGCAGAGCACAACATGCACACAGTTGCCATACCAAGGCATCACACACACACACACACACACACACTTACGCACTTACACTTACACACTTACACTTACACACACACACACGAACACACACACACGAACACACACAGAGGACTCTGCTCATTAGGAGGCGAAACACACACGTAGGAGACTTTGGGACACGAGACACTCCATAATCTGCTGTGACAGGCCTTATTTGCGTGTAAGGGAACCCCGGCCCTCCCGTCCTGCGGGTGCTAAGTCCTCCCCAGTGTATCCTTAACACACACACACTCGAGCACCTACCCATATCCCAGGTCAGGGGGGATGACCAGAAGGCGCTTGCCGCCCTCCTTCATCGCCGGAATGTCCTTGGAGTCAAGGCGCGAGAAACAGGGAGCGGAGAGAAATGACGGGCGGATCAGATCCATTCAGTAAATCCAATAGACATGCTGTAACAGATTTGTTGCCATCTCGACGCCGCTAACAAGGGTTTGTCAGAATATAGGCATCAGAAGGCGTGCAGTGTCTGCATAGTTCTTGTGGAAGAGAAAACGGAACACGCATTGAGCTGGGCTTCTCGGAACGGAACGCTATATGGCTCAGGGCTCCCATATGGCCGCACGGCCTAACTAAGATCGGTCGCATGCGGCCGGGCGGTCAGATAGATAGCGCCCGTTGTACGCCTGATAGCGCGGCGGCGGAAACAGGCCCCTCCCAACCAACTGTCCAACTGTCAAAACCTCGTACCTCGGCGCCCAAGATGCCCATGTCCCAGCCCTTGATGACCTGGCCAACGCCAATCTGTACAACAACAGAGTTTTTTTGTTAGGCGGTGAAGTGCGAGTAGGGCAACAGGCGGACTGGAGGGTGCGTGTTCTAGAAAATAGTCCGCAGGAATAGTAGCTTGCAGAAATAGTTCGCAAATGGACATTGACGCCGATGTAGAAACCGACATGACAAACGAAGGTGGTCAAGAAGTTAAGACCTCGACCATTATTAGGGATTTCCATGTATATACGATGTGTGAAACAGTGGGGTGTATCTTCGCCCGTGGCAGCTACCCTGCGAAACCCTGCCTTCCCCGGTATTTCGGGGCACCCTCATCCAGTCACCCTAGTCAACTTCTCAGTGGATCGCTCAGGTTCCGCACCCACCACCAGCATCCAACGGAATCTGCCGGGTCGACAGCGGCCCAACTCCATTCCTGGTCGGCTCGCGGGTTAACTTTATCCCAGGTCACCACCGTCCATCAACTAGGTGCGCAATGCCTTCCACCATCGGAAGGAGTTTTGACCCTAACGGGTATCGATCCCGGGATCTCTCGGGGGCAATGGTCGCGCCTTACCAGTAGTGCCAAACCCTTAAAATATGTATGTATGTATGTATGTATGTATGTATGTATGTGTGGGAGGAAGGGGTTTCCCGGATGATGATGATGATTACGGATCTGGATTTTGCACGCTCCCCAGTACTAACGAGGCGTGACATTTTAACAGTTTCTAACCGTCTGCCGTACCGAGAACCCGAACCCGCGCAGGTCCCAACACACTTCTTTGCACCCTACTACCACTCTACTTCCAATATCACAGAATTGCAAGGAGGACGAGACGTCGCATGATGGTGGTTGCATGTGCGATATGTCTATTATGACGATGTTGATCGACATGACCCAGATGAGGCCAAAATCCCTCCAGGTTATGAGGCAAGTGAGGGCCTTATGAGGCAAGTGGGAGGGGACAAGGCGATCATGTGCCCCCGTCCGCGGGGTCAGAAGGGAAGGGAAGGCGATTGAGTCTGCGACACGTCACAATAGCTCATAATTGTACGACATGCGCAAGCCGTGCCGTGATCGAAACACACACACACAAACACACACACACAAAGTCAAAACGTACCGTGAAGGACAGCGGTTGGCGACGATTGTACGACGAATCGAATACGGTACCGTTGGTGAGGCGGCCGGTGTAATGACACCTTGGTGGGGCGTTATGCAGCGGTAGCAGCAACGCGCAGATGTTAACCAACGTTTCCAAACATGAAGAACTACACGTACCACATCATGCGCATGTACAAAATACGCAAAGCATCTCTCTGTCCCTCTCTTGCTTTTTCGCACCGGCAGACGCGCAACACAAAGCAACTCCCAACTCTCCCAACGCGCACCCGTTCACGCTCTGTCGCTCACACTTACTTGATGACAGCGCCCTTAACTGGCGACGGCCCGGTTCCCTCCTGAACATCCTTCCACTTCAGGCCGCTGGCGCTCTCGTTCAGGTCCCCGGCTTCGGCTGCCACGGCGGGGAAGGCAGACATTGAGGACATTGCAGGCAGAGTTGCGGCAGCCGCGATCAGCAGCTCCCGACGGCCAACTTCATGGTGCATTTCGGATTCAGAAGAGGGCTCGGCATGAGACCTGCCTGAGGCGCGGACGCGTGTGGCGAGGAGGCGCGCAGGAGCCCGATGCGCCTGCGTGCGTCATCGCAAAGACCACCGGAACGAGATCAAGGATCATCAAGAAGTTTTGTATTTGGAAGTGAAATGGTGTAATGAGACGTGATAGTTTTATGATAAAGAAATGCTCGAAACGCAGAAAGGAAACGTCCGTAGAGCACGACTGTGCATTTCGCACCTTCACGGCCGCCAAGCGGCACGAGCTTAGCCGAGACTGCAATGCAAGAGCCATCATTTGGGTGATCAAGTGTTCTACTTAAAACCCTTACACAGCAGTGCTTCATTGATGACACTTCACCGAAAGGGGAAAAAGCGTTGCGATTGTACGGAAGACGACGCCACGACCTTGCTTTCATCAACTTGCTTCATCAAGAAACTGGAGTGAACATCAGCAACTCACAGGACTATAAGGCATGCCCTTCCAGCACATAATGCTTTTCACTTCACACTCGAATCACGCATGGACCATACTTGAGGCCATACTGCATGAGCAGCTGCAAAACAGCGATCCGACATAGTTGCATGCACTTTTACATTACCTGTTTGCAAAGCAGATCAACTTTTAAATGGTCAAGTCGTACAGCTTCACATGGGGACACAGCCTGTGACGTCAAAATAGGGGGGTCCTTGTGAAGCAGCTGCCCGCGTTTCCAAAGCAAGTATGGTGTTGGATTGTAAGGTGCCCAAGTACGTTTGCGAGGAAGAGAATGTGGCCAGGTTGGAGAGGAAAGTGCAGTGGCATATTGGAATGTGGGATTAGCGTAAGCGAGTTACAGGGCGTTTTATTGCACGGGCGAGTTTACGTGCAAATCTTTCACCGTAGCATCAGTCCTCAGTTCACTTCTTGGAACGAACATCAGCATAGGTGCAAGCCCTCTCGCTTGGGGGGATATGCAAACAAACATCCTGATAGGGGTAAACTCGCACGCTACCGAGCATTCAACCGAGCACATGCATGCTTAGTTGAATGGTGAGATGCGACCCCCCCTTCATTTCGTGCTCGGCAAGCCTGCCACCGCGTACCGGATATGTTGGCGATGTTACAGAACGCTGGACCTTGGTTTCTGTGCGCAATGCGTACGATGCTCGACCCCGCCGACCAAAACTACACGTGCCCAACTGAAGACATTCCCGGTGGTTGTGCAGCAGCTCTCGAGGCTGTTGCTGGCTGAAATCCATCCTGAGCTGTTGCAACACGGCTAACGCGGGCACGTCCCTATGCACAGCAAATAGCTGTTCCAAGCCAACAGCGGCGTCCATGTCACCGACAAGGCTCTAAACGTCTTATCTGTTCTTATGTTTAATGAAGTTTATGTATGTTATACTTTGCGCAACTTTGTAATTTGACTTTACTCTGAACAAGGTGCTGCATACAACTGCCTCTTCGCCAGCGCTTCATCTTCCGCGGCAGTTTCACGAGCCCAGAGTTGCAAGCTAGGACGTTGGCATTGGGTGCTTTCAGTTACTGCAAAGCATCCAGGCAATAGTCCAGCATGCATGCCGCGTGCGGCTATGGCCAACATGCCCACTTGCGCAACGCGCTGGCGCACGTGGTCCTCATCCGCCAAGAAAATTTATATACACTTGTACAGGCGCATTTTGTGAATCGCACGCGCGCATCTGCGCGGCAAAATTCGCTCCTGGCTTTTTTGGGACGATGTACGAACACTTTATTCGCGAAGTACGACCGGACACATTTGTGCGAGGGGCTGCTTAAAGAATACCTCCCTCTAGAGCCCCCGGGTTACACGAGTCCCAAGTAAACGTATCCACCAAATACGGCGCCAAAGCAGTCGTTAATAACGCATAGTCCTCTCCATGTGGGCGCCTCTTGAGCTGCTGACGCCTTGACTGTACGGCACAGGACACAAAATACCCTCACGCTCTTGCTCAAACACAGGCCTACCTCGCCCCCTCGGAGGCCTTAGGACCGGCCTTAGGTGTTCCTCTCCCCCCTCACGAGGGGGAGTGGGCTCAACAAGGTGGCAACTCAGTCACTTTAAATTACATGTCTCTGCGGTTCGACGACCTTTTGGTCCTCATATCGCTGTTGAGCTTTCCTCGCCCCCACATCACACCAGGCCTCCTCCTCCTCCTCCACCTCCTCCAACTCCCAACCCGCGGCAGCGGCAGCGCCTCTGCGCCACCTGCCAGGCAACGCGATACGTCTACTACGTCACCATCTCTTCCGCCTCTTCAAACTCAAGCCAGGGTTAGGGAAACACTTTTCCAACACCTAGCCCTCTCCTACAGCGACCATCATACCCACCCACCCACCCACCCCGCCCCCTAGGTAACTCCCCCCGCACGCCCGCGTGGGACCCGCCCGCAGATCCGCAGATGAACATCACGATGCATCACCGCCGTCACCGTCCTCCTCCTCCGCCGCCGCCGCCTCCTCCCTCCCCCCCCTGCTTGTTGCTGCTGCTTCTGCTGCTTCCACGTCTCCCTACCAGCTACTGCATATCCCCCTGCTACTACACCACAGCTACTACTACACCCGCTACCAGGGCAACACACTGCCGTTGCGGTGCCAGAAAGTTCCCGAGGTCTCCAACGACAAACGGTGCTCGATGATATCCACCAGGTCCGCAGCGCTTTGCTCAGGATCGATAACACCGTCCATGCCTGAGGAGGAAAACATACCATTACATAAATAAATACATAATAAAAACATAAAATAAGCGTGAAGAAAGGACATAATCACATGGTAAGTCACAGTACGGCATGGTGCAAGATGTACGGCAGGTTTTAGCAGGAAGAGTGATAGAGAAAAGGACAAGTTGGAGCGTGTGTGGTGTTGGTGTTGGTGGCGGTGTGTGTTACCCGACGCCCCTCCTCCATCCCCTCCAGGCCGGGGCCCCCCATCGAGGTGCTGGCTGAACTGTCGTGCACATCGTGCACTTCACTGTGAGCGAGTACGACATGCGAGGGGGTTTTCCATGTACGACCAAGCTCCACACAAACACACAAACCGACACACTATTTAGCACCTTGGGGCCCGTATTACGAATCGGGAATAAAAAGCTCACCATGATATTTCTTGGTCATGTCAGTGGCCACAAAGCCAGGGTGGAGGATGCCCACCTTCAGGGTTGGGAGGGGGGGGAGGAAGCAGACCAAAACAAGCGGGAGGCAGCGGAGGATTATTAATGACTTTGTGCTTTTCCTGCGTGTATGTGTGTGTGGGGGGGGGGATTGTTACCGTGGGCGCTTGGTTGTGTGGGCGCTAACACGCAAACCAAAATGTTTGAAGCCCTCCGGCACAATAAGACGATGCGGCATTGTTTCATTACTTCAGATGTCTGGAGCTGTTTAAGGACTGATTTGCTGGTTCCTAAATCCGTCAGTCAGTCTGTCTGTCTGTCTGCGCGCCAGCCTGCGCGGACCCTCTTCCTGATCGATAGGCCGTACAAAACCCCTCCTCCCTCCCTCCCTCCCCTCCTCCCCTCACTCCTTCGTCTCTTACCGCCACGCCAGCACTCTTCAAGTCGACGGCCAGGTTCATGCCCAACATATTCACTGCGGCCTTGCTCATCCGATAGCCATACTGTACGGCAAATAATATGCACAGTGTACCACATACACACGGAAGTCTTACCGTAGCGCAGGGCAGTTATAATGGCCTCGTCAGCTTTCCGTACAAACGCCAAGCTTTTAAATCCGACTTGCATGTGCATGTGGACATGTGCATTGGAATAGATAAATTACCTCAAGACGGAAAACCTTATAATATAGTTCTGGTGCTAATCATCAATCATTTTGGGAAATTCTCTTTATGCCATTATCAGCAAAAGGCTTGTGCAGCCTTCAATTCCATCACGCCCAAAACATACTATCGCTCTCATGCACCCTCTCAGCGTCCAGACAGCGTTAGCTCCCTCAGCTATTGGTTTGGCTATTTGGGCACTGAAATTCTAATCAAGGGCCTATCCATGAAGGGCGGGTGGTTGCACCCACCATCACCATCACCACCGCCCTACCGAGGACCGGGTGTCCGGGCGGACCCCTAGGGATAGCGCACCACCGCGACGTCTCTACACACAAACATACACATACATACATACATACACATACATATATACACATACATACATACACATACATACATACACATACACGGCCAAGTAAGCAAAGCAAAACATCCGGGAGGGCGGCATCGACTCACACATTCTCATACCCCCTGTGCGGCTCTCATGATGCCGTGCACTTACAAGTATATCTGTCTGTCAGTCTGCGTGTCTGTCCATCTGTCTGCCTGTCTGTTTGAATGTCTGTCTGTCCCTGTCTGTATCCCCGGGGGTTTGGGTACTTGGGGTCGGGGACACTCGTACCCACTAAGGGATGTGCGGGTGTGCTGCTGCACTAAAACGCAGTGCAAGATTAGGGCCCCCAGGCAGCCGCTGTGTAAATGGCCGTTTATGCACATGGCCGTGATGACTACTACATGAACCCGACCGAAACCCAACTCCAACGAGACCACCAGGCCCCCCCGGGTCCCAGCTTCAATTGCTGCCACTGCTACTGCTGGATTACGAAGGGATTAACGGACTAACGGACAACAGGGCCAGTAGCAGGGGCCCACCCAAACTCACATCTCCACCACTGCCGTTGTCCGCAATGGAGCCCATCCGGGAGGTGATGATGGCGACCTGAATTGGCGTTGTTGGGTGATTTGTTTTGTTGGGTGTTTCAATATGAAATGGTAATGGGTAACCCGTTGTGGTTATGGACAGTTTGCCCGTATGTATGTATGTATGTATCATGCCTGCTTTGTAAGGCTGTAATATGACTGCTGTGTGGAGTTGTCAGAAATAACAGCATCAACAGCATCAACAGCATCAACAGCAGCAATAGCAATAGCAATGGCAGCAGATAGCCTGTTTAGGGTTCACGGAGGGAGGTGGTATGATCCCGCTTAGAACGCTTCGCAGACTTCTGCGCCGCTATAGGGCCTAGCCAGGGGCTGGGAGAGTGCCCCGGCTGGCTGAGTAGGGGAGTGGGGCGCGCGCGGAGGAGCAGCCGATTGTGGAGCCGCGCGCCGGTCCCTGTGCTGTGTTTCGGCCCCCCCCCGGTCCGGTCAGGCCACTCCCGCGGTGCTCATCGTCCTTCCTCAGGACGAGCTTTGCCCACACAATGTAACACCCCATCAGCAATAGTAGCAGCAGCAACAACAGTAGCAGCAGGAACAGCAACAACAGCAATTGCAACAGTAGCAGTGGTCGGCTATGAGCATGAGTACACTCCTTGATGTAGGTGGAGTCGGAGAAGGGATTTGCGGCATGTACGTAATACATAGATGGAAGAAAACAATCCGTCGAGCTTTTCACACCAAAACGTAAAAGCCAGTAATAGTAATAGTGGTGGTAGGCTGCGATGTGTCGCTCTGTCTGCGTGGGCATGTGCATGTGGTATACATACATACATACATAGGCAGGTGGCTGGCAGAAGTTAAGGCCTGACTTCTACTCCCGGACATTCCGGGTTCAAATCCGCCTGCCGACCCCTCGGGTGTGTGAGGGGTGTTGATTTGGGGGGTGGGCCCCCATCTTGTGGACGGTGTAGAACGTGATTATATCAACTTGCGAGCTGACCAGGAACTAAGTTGAGGCGCCGTAGATCCGCTAGATTTGGTTGGATGCTGGTGGTGAGTTGCTGAACCCAACGAATACAATCTGAAGTCGGATGGGGTGAATGGATTGGGGTGCCCCTCTCGCAGGGGAGAGCAGGGAACTGCCTCCAAGGGAAAGGGGGCCGCTGGTGAAGCTATACCACCCTGTAACAACAACATCATACATACATACGCGTGTGTGAGGGAGTGTGTTTACACACGGCCGGCATCTCCTGCTCAGGGCAGCAGACCCCCCTAACCCTTAGCCCCAGCCACCCGTCTCACTCTCTCACACTGACCCTCACCCTCACCTTCGCTCCAGGTCCCAGGCTTTCCCTGACCGCCAGGTAAGTGCGCAGGGGGCCTAACGAGTTGACCTCAAACTGCGTAAGGGAGTGGGAGGGCTCACGTGTATTTGTGTGTACTACGTTTGAGGTGCAGTGGTGGTGGTGGTGGTGGTGGTGGTGGGGTATCACTTAGAAGTAGCCGGACAGCCAAACAGAGGCCGCCGGAGGCAGCTGGGAAGATAACAGGCAGGCGAATGAGGACAGGCAGACAGGCAGGGCTGGCAATACACACACATCACATATATATAAGCACACACACAAAAAAAAACGCACACAAAAAAAAGCGCGCACACACACAAGCAAAGCAGGAGTATGGAACGGCCGACGGGGCCGTGTCGCGGGAAAGGCCAGTTGGACAGCACCTGAGCTGGAAGAGGCGAACAAGGACCGCACGACTCTTGAGGGTCGAGGCATGTCGTGGCTCCTCCCTGGTCGTCCCTGAGCGCCGGATACCACTGCCCTCCCACTGGCCAGACGCGACCACACATGACATACATACAGACACACCTGCTCCCGAATGTTGTTGAGGTCCAGATCTGTGATGGAGTCCTCCATCAGTACGCCGGCATTGCAAACCAACAGGTCCACCTGGCGACCGCGCAAGGTGGCGGTCAGCGGGGCGCAGCCGCCATCGCGGCCCACATCCACGCCTATGGCGGTGGTGGCGGCAGTGGAGGGGGAGGGGGGTTTGAGGAAGTAAGTGGCGGGAAGACAAGATGAGAATGGCGCGGCGCCGGCGTTGGGATGTTGAGCGGGTGGGATAGTGAATACAGTATTATGAAGAGATGTGAGCAGACCGCGTAGTTGAATGTGATTGCTAACAATGAAAACGTTTAAAGGAAAAACACTGTGGGCCTCTTTCCACTGGCTGAAAAACTTCGATTGGTGGTTAATGTATCGCCAGTCCAGGAGACTGGTTCAATGAGAGCTGGTTTGTGCAGTTGATTTTGCGCCCCTTTATACAAACCTTCAACAATTTGCACGCCCAATGCCTGGAGCTCCGCGCTTGGTTTACGGCATGAGGCTACAACATCGTAGCCTTTTGACTTAAGCTTGGCGCACAGCTACACATGAACAGAAATATAAAAATTCAATTAGAGCTCCCGGATCCGGCTGAGAATGACGCAGCGGTGGCAGAATGACGCAGGCTTACTGAAAATCCAATGCCTCGGTTTGCCCCAGTGACAACAGAGAGAGGACCCATAGTGAGGAATAGAATGATGTTATCTCACGGTTAAAGCATGGCTTTGCCATGGAAAGATGGCATAAAGCGGTAGCCTGCCGTAGCATCAGAAGCTTCTTTCCAAAAGGCCTTCCAATCCCGCAGGATGCGAACAAAATGTTCCATTTGTCAAATCTTTAGAAGTAATATGGTTATGCCAAACAAAAAGCAAGAGAGCTCACACACGACCCACGCCGCGACGGTATTCTCCACAGTGCAATCAATCAAGCGAAAATCTTAATCACCAAAATAACAAAAGTAAAATCAGTAAAAGCCATGAAGATCATCATGATACTTGGGGAAATCGTCCGGTCGGAGCCTCGGGCAGTATCGGTTAGGGTCGCCGCAGGTAACGCTGGTCAAATATAGTATTAATCTTCAAAGAGACAATGTTGATGCTGGGTAGTGCGACGCCGCAAAAGCCGTCTCGGTTACGAATTCGATCGGCTCTTACAACAGTTTGACAATCTGGAACAAGAATTGGGCGGGTGCACGGCTGCAGCGGTAGTGTAAGGCCGCAACCATGCTGGCAAGTCGAATGCGCAAGCGCACCATGACAAGCCCCCGAGAAATATCAAGTTAATCGCAGGTCCCTCAATGAGGACCATATTAGCGATTAAGCTAATAAGAACAGATACTACCCATGATCTGAGCCAAAAGGCGAGAAAAGGTATGAAATTTCGCGGATTAGGCCTCTCTGGTAGGCTCAGGGAAGACGGCTTCTTGCAAGGCTTGCGCGCGATGGTGGGTCACGGTAAATACAACATACATCTCCCACAATCCTGCTTTCCATTCCCCACGCTCTCCGAAACTCCACATCATACACCCTCCCTCTCCCCAGACGTCCCCGCCGAGTACTACGTATGCCTCTCGCAACGGAATGCCACATGCATATCCGCCACGTCAGCACCCGTCGTCCTCCCCCCCCACACCGTCAGCGTGAGGGCCCCCTTTTTCCCCGAGCGACCGCTCACACCCCTCTACTTTTCATGTCTCACACGAACAAGCATTGTTGTATGTCTTTTTGGCGATACATTCGCAACGTTGTGTCGTAAGGGAGGAAGGGAAAGAGAGGATGAGGAGGGGGCGTCTTCCCCCAAACACGGGCTGCCAAACACCGCCCCCGGGTGCGAGCAGGTGTTGCCTTGGCTCCCTTGGGCCTTACCTAAGCCCGCGGTGAGGAGGAGGGGGCATTGAAAATGTATGTTCTCTTTTCAAGAACTGAGACACCCTCTCCCTTTTATCCTTTTAGAGCCATCCTCCACAGCATATTACAGCGCGGCATAGTACGGTACGGTGCAGCACAGAACCGTACGGTATAGTACGACGCGGCAAAAACGGGATAGTTTGACACAGATACAGTTACTCTCCACCCCAACACACACACACACGCACGACAGCACTCTCTCTCTCTCTCTCACACACACAACACACACTAATATGGAGACGAACGAGGTGTACACGGGCACGACACGGCTTCTTTTCCATTTTCCGAGGCGCTGGCACTGAAGAAGTGGCATCACGGAAGAGTCATCATTACGACACAAAGAGAGCAAGAGCGGGAGGGAGAGAGGGTGAGAGAAAAAGGAAGGAGCGTGCGTCATACACCACCACCAGCACCACCGCCACCACAAGACGCCGCGCACCGCCCTGACACGTCAACGATTTGTAATCTGCAGCTGTACTGTTCAATACCGTACAGGCAGGTAGTGTACTGCCGTCACCATGCTGACTGAGTGCATCTATTCATGCACGCACATACATACACACATAGAGCACTACAGCGCCTCCGCCGCTTGTTTCTACGGGACTACTGTAAAATTAAAAGGGACGACTACGGTTCTCTCTATGGGAACAGTCTAACACTGTGGGTGGGTGGGCTGGTGATGGACTTAGGAGGACTACGGAGCTTGCGTCGGACAAAAAGCTATTCCACCATACTCGGCATTTCCCTCATCGCGGCTCCGAAGATCATTAAAACACACACACACACACAGATACACACAACCCCCACATGCACACATACATACCCTGTTAACCTCCCACCCAACCCTCCGAAGAGTATTCCGGTGCCGTACCGTGCCGTGTTTTCCTCCTCCTCCTCCTCCTCCTGCTAAGAACCTGCACCGCTTCCTACACCCCCTCTCGCCCCGCCTCCCCCAAAACCCCACAGATCTTAACTCAGAAACCTAGCAGCGGTAACAGTAGCAGTAGCAACAACAGTAATAGTTCTGGTGCTTACTGCTGGCCAGGTAGCCTCCCCTGAGACACATACATACATACATACACTAGGGTTTGGCACTACTGGTAAGGCGCGACCGTTGCCCCCGGGAGATCCCGGGATCGATACCCATTAGGGTCATAAGTCCTTCCGATGGTGGAAGGTATTGCGCCCCTAGTTGATGGACGGTGGTGACCTGGGATAAAGTTAACCTGCGAGCCGACCAGGAATGGAGTTGGGCCGCTGTCGACCCGGCAGATTCCGTTGGATGCTGGTGGTGGGTGCGGAACCTGAGCGATCCACTGAGAAGTTGACTAGGGTGACTGGATGAGGGTGCCCCGAAATACCGGGGAAGGCAGGGTTTCGCAGGGTAGCTGCCACGGGCGAAGATACACCCCCCTGTTTCACACATCATACATACATACATACATGCGCAAACACGCATGCACACGGTACACACGCACACGAGCACCACAAACCACCACATGGCCAAATATGGGCACGGATGACCCAAAACACACATACATGCATGCATGCATGCATGCATACATGCATACACCAAGGGTTTTTCTTCTCTTCTCGAATGTGTCCTCTCTAAGAATTTGCGTTCTAGCGGCAACAAGCCGCCGCGACTAATGTCGTGTGTCGCCCCACATCACATCACATCGCCTCCGCCGCAGCCGTACTCGCACTTGCACATCCACACCGCCGCCGTCAACACTAGCAGTAGCAATAATAGCAGTAGCAGCAGTAGCTTGCTGCACCGATCTCCTTCCGTCTGGTGTCGTACCACCCACCCGCCTACTCCTGGAGGCGGCAGGCCGCAGACAAGGGCTGCTACAGCCGTACGGAACTCCAACACACAGTACCGCAGTCGCGATAACAACAACAGCATCAGTAGCAGTAGCAGCAAGAAAAGGAGATGGTGGTAGAGAGCAGACTAGTCGCAGTTATGCCGTCTGCATGGCAACGATGCCGTCGCCGTCGAGTGGTGACGTTGCAGGCTTTCCATCGTCCATGTCGACGTCGACGTCGACGCCGGCGGGAGGCCCCGACGTTGGCCCTTCCGCTGCGGCGTCATCGGCAGCGCCAGGGGCAACAGCCTCCCGCGCCACTGCCGTCGGCTCTTGCGTGTTCCCAGGGGCCGCCGCCGCCGCCATCGGTGCACGCTCCTTTGTGACATAACCCGCTGGCGTTGACGATGTCTCTACTTGCTGTGTTGCCGTCGGCGTGGCCGTGCCGTCCGCCGGCAGCAAGCCCATGTCCGCCGCGGCGGCGGCCGCCGCCGCCGCCGTCGGCTCTACTGCCAGAGTGATGCCCGCCGGTACCGCCGCTGCATGGATAGCCAACGCCGGCGCAGCGGAACCTGTCGTACTGTGTGGGACAGCAGCAGTGACGGCGGTGCTAGGCAACGGTGCCGCCAAAGCCCCGGGCGGCAGCGCCATGAGCGCCAGCGCCGCCGCCGCCGGCGTCGCTATCGCCGTCGGTGCCGTCGGCCTGCCTCCCAACGAGTCCATGATACCCCTGACGGCGATTGCTAACTCCGGGCCTTTGACGCTCGTACACACAAGTTGGATGGCCTGTGCCTCCGCCGCCGTCAACCCTGGCCCCGTAAGGCCCAGAGCGCTGACGTCCGGGGCTAGCGGCAGCGCTAGGTGATGTACGAGAGTTGACGCAAGCGCTGCGGCGCTCTGAAGCTGCGCATCCGAGATGGTGCCGTTGCCGTTGCCGGCGGGGGACACGGCCGTTGCAGGTGCTGCGGGCCCCACGCCGCCAGCAGCGGCGGCGGGTTGGGAACCCACTGGTAACGCCGCCAGCGCGCCGCCACCGCGAGTGCCGTTCGCCGTGCTGCCGCCGCGGGTGGCTGCCGCCGCCGCCGCTGCCCTTGGAAGCCGTATTGTCAAGGACCCCGTACGACCTGCCCCTATTGTACCGCCGCCATTGGCTTGCAGCTTGCCGGCGGCGTCCCCAAGCCCAGCGGCGGCTACCACCTCCGCCGGCCGCGCCATTGTCCCCAGACCCAACGCATGAATCAGCGTCAGCGCTGCCTGTCTATTGTGGTCTTGCGGACTTGCCGCCGCCGCCGCCGCCGTCGCCGCCCCCTGTCCGTGTCCCGTCCCGTCCGCTGCCTGCTGCTCTTTCTCTGCCCGCTCCCTCTCCCGTTCCCGACGGCTCTCCTGCTTAACACTTTGGGGTCCGCCGTTGGCGCCGTTAGCGCCGGGGGTGCCGCTGCGGCTGCCGCCGCCTGCTGCCGCCGCCGCCGCGGCCGCGGCTCGCCGCTGCTGTTGCGTGAGCGGCTTGTCTGAGGGCAGTGCGATGGCGGGGCTGACCCCCAGGAGGTCCTTGACGCAGTTGAGCACGTCGAGCACCGTAGCGGGCGGCATGATGCCGCCTTGGCGGGGGCCCATTTTGAGGAAGCCGCCTGAGGGCAAGCAGGTGGATAAGGGAGGTGGGTAGGTAGGTATGGAGGGAAAAACGGGGGCAGGGGCAAGTAGGAAAAGAGGCAAGTTAAGGATTATATATTTTACATCATTTAAACTATTCTTCCGGCCACCACTTCGGTTGCAAACCATTAACAACAATAAATCTAATAGCTCTAAAGTGGTGACTCGTGCCACAAAAAAATATATAGATCGAGCAGCTTCGCGCCTCTCTATCTCTCCCCCCTACTTTAGCGCAATCCCTTTCATCACACGCTTCGCGCCTACCCCGAGAGACGTTTCTTCCGTACACTTCTAACCCTTTGTTACCCGTACATACCGTACGCACGCAAACACCCGCCACCCCAACTTAAAATATCAACAGCGCGCACTCGAGTTGAAAACCAACCACTACCATCACCATCATCACCATCAGAACAACGACACCAGAAACCGTTACACCCGTTACAGCCGGTACAACCGTTACAACCAACCAACCTGCTGCTTTAAAGCTATGTCGCCACTTCTTTGCACTGCTCTGTGCCACGGACGCCTCAAACTGTGCAGGGGTCGTCGACAAGAGAGCTCCGCCCTCGCCTTCGTACATTACTTTGGGACAGACATTACCGTTGCTGTCAATCTGAAGAAGAAAAAAGGAAGAACAATCAAAAAAGAGAGAAAAAATCTGAGTAGGTGCATGTACGACAGTTTTTTGTACGACAGAATCACAAACACGCACGTTTTCTCGAGGAATGGATTGGACGCGAGGGCGGGTAGAGTGACGACGCGTACATCAGTAAATCACAGAGCGTGTGCCGTACATCGGTAGAGTGTGTGTGTGTTTTGCACGCCACACAACGTACCTCGTACGACATCCAGCCCCGCGACTTGTCGCAGGTGATGATGACGTACACAGTTGCCGCCGCCGGCTTGCCGTACGCAGGCGACGACGGGTCTAGCACTGTACGGAAATGCGCCATCACTTCTGCCAGTGACGCCAGCCGCATGCCCGCCGCTGCTCCGGAACCGTCTTGTCGAGCAAAACCTGTCAGCAGCAGTAGCAGCCGTTTGGATCCCGTTCCACTCCGAACCCCCACAGCCCCCATCCCCTCCTCCCCATCCGCCACGACGTACATACACACGCACACACATACAGAATAGTGTCGACGATGTTCGTAAACAAAACGCTGCCATTCAAAGCCCACAAGCAAATCACCAGTGCGCTCCAGTTCCTGTCGACGGCTCAGGATATTCGAACATACATACATACATACATACATACATACATACATACATACACACCTAGGCACTTCAGGTTCTCGGGCGGTCCCTCCGCCGCCGCCTCCTGCTCCGTCAGCAATGTGGGCTCCGCGCCGCTGGCGTTTTCGCGGTACAACAGTGGACGAGCAAATGAGCCGTCAAAGGCAACTAGAAGATTGGGGCCGCGACCCTGAGCCCGGAAAAACAGAGTGCCGTACGGAATGCCGCCGTTGGACAGCGGCGTCAGGCCGCCTCCGCCAGCGGCGGTGGATCCGCCGTTGACGGCGGCGCCGGCGCTGCCGTTGACGGCGGCGCCGATGCCAGGCGGCTGCGGCGGCGGTGGGGAGGCCTCCGATCCCCCGCCGCCGCTTTGGTCAGTCTGCGCGGCCCCTCCCGGGATGTACGGCGCAAGGAGGGGGGGAGGGAAATCACGCGACGGGAAATCAGAAATGAACT